CTCGTCAAAAACGTGTGGATACTTTTGAAAATGGAGGGGAAGCTTGAACTTCGAAGCTCGCTTGTCAACAGAAACGTGGTGAAAGAAAACCTTTCCTGTAGGAGGCCATTGCAAGTGCCGGCAAAACAGTAAGTTAGGTCAATCCTTGCGTTAAGAGGGTATTTCACACTCGAAGGACATAAATTTAACCTTGATAAAGTGCAAGTAGGTCGACCGCTGCATCGAGTGGCGAACACAGCATCAGAATTGTCATGGAATTGTTGCCGATATTTGACCCTCTAGTAGCACGACTTATGACGAATGCTGCCTATTTATAAAAATTATCACCGCCTTCACATCACTAAACAATAAACCAATAACAACAATGTGATTACCTTTGATGTTGGTTGGTCGTGCCTCAGCAGCCTTCAAGTATTAAACCTTCACGCAACGCAAGTGAGTTTGGCTCGGTTACCACGCTGGGGAACAAAGATCGTAAATTCTTCGGAGCTCCAAAGCGCGCGCGTCAAAATCCGAAGGGTTTCCGACGATCACCTGGACAGATTTTATTAACGGGTTGGAAATTGCCTTCTTAAATGAGAAGCAACACAATGCGCAGAATAATTTCGGTTGATGACATACATAATTTTTTTTTTTGTGGAAAATTTCATTACCAACAGCTTTGTTACATAAAGACAAGAAACAAATGTGAACAACAAAATGCTTCATTTCATTTCGTTTATAAACTGACTGGTTAATCGACAATTCTTCCATGAAAAAAAAATACTTAAGGTTACTGTTTACAAGATCTTTCCACCACTTTTGCAATTTTTTTTAGCAGTCGTTAACAGAGGACTCCTTACGTTATGTATCATCATTTCTTGAACAGGAGCCATAATCGATTACGGCTCCCGTTTCTGACCAATCAGAAGTAAGGAATTCAAATACTTCAGGCGACTGGCGCGGCTTTAGTAACGAAGTACTAACGATACTGCATGTAAAGATCTGTAAATGTGACGCCTAGATTCGCCACTAGGGAGTTTTAGCACCGAAGACGGCGACGGTAGCGAAAACGTCACTATATGAAAAGGCATTCGCGTTTTTTAAAACATTGTCGCGTTTATTCAAATCCGCTGAAAATGTCAGATGTAGGTGGATTTCCCAAGAGTTGATTTCTTGGGGACCGCACTCAAGTTTAGAAAAAGAAAGAAAAATTCGTTGTCGCCTGTTTACGTCACCATAACGCGTGAAATCACGAGGCATTTTCACGTCGTAGTCGTGCAGTGACGGCAAAGAAATGTACAAAAAAGCGTGATGCACGTGCAAAGTTGTTGTTTTGATTAACAAACCAATTGCTCTTCTGCTAAAGCTCCCTACTATGGGTCTGCGAGATGGTTACGGATTGCCACAAGCAAAAATAGAGCAGTCCAAACTTCGACAAAAAATACTAGAAGACTAGAAGGGATTAAAAAAAAACGAAGAAAAAGATTTGCCAGCAAGTCTTTTGGGTGACTACGAAGAAGGAGTTTTTGGCAAATAATCCTGCTTCCACAAAAAAGCTATGAGGTTATAACGAGTAAAAAAGGTAATCCCTACAACGAACGAAACAATCAAGTCAGCTAATCTACATTTTATATACATTAAGAAACTTAAATACTCATAAAACAAACTTTTTTCTAGTAGAGTTAAGTTATGAAAGCAATATTTCCTGAGACGGCGAGGAAAGAAAGGTCGGTTGGATTTTTTGACAAACTGATTCGAAGACCATGTACGGTTCTACCGCCATCCCAAGGGGGAGGAGGTCCTCCCTTACCTCTTCCCCTGCAGGGATACCAGCGGTGCGGCTCTTTCGCAGATTCAGTAGCAACTTATGTATCTACAATCTTAAAGACTGCAACATTTTTACGGAAGGATAGGTATCAAGACTGCTTGATCTGTGTATGTGGGTTGTCATCAAATAAGACGTAATATCCACAAACAAAGGAAAACAATTTCTTAAATCAGACGGCAGTGAATTCCTAGACTAGAGGGTGTTCAATAAACGGGAGGTAAAATGTCTCTTCTTTTGTAGAGCGTCTGTGGTCCTCTTGTTTTCTAAAAAGCATATCGCGTTCTGATATCCTCCAATTTCTTGGAAACCTGTAGGTGAAAAACGTGGGTGAATGGTTACCGTAAAATTCCGAAAATAAGCCCCTCCATGTATAAGCCCCTCCAAATATAAGCCCCCCAAACCGGTAACGTAAAAACCCCTCCGTTAAATCGCCCCTCCAAATACAAGCCCCTGGGGGCTTGAAATTGGAAAATTGCCTTCAAATACAAAGTATAACAAAGCAAAAACGGTAAATTTACTTCGAACTATAAGGGCTAGCCCAATCGATTTTGAGACGCAAATTTTCATCCATAGATAAGCCCCTCCAAAAGAAGGCCCCTCAAAAAGGGCCTTTGAAAAATATAAGTCCCGGCGCTTATTTTCGGAAGTTTACGGTAACAAAGTCAAAGTCAATCTGCATAACTAGCGTATCCAGGGTTTCCGATAAACAGAATAATAATAATAATTTCCGCAAGACAAGACCTTCCACCCGCCCGTAATCTGTGAGTTCTGCAGTAATCATTAATAGAAATTACCGGAAGAGCGAATAAAGGAGGAAGAGAATATTTTCCTGCACTGCGGCTCTTCTAAGAGATAAAAAGTGCTGTTTCGTCATGCTGAACTAGTGTATGGCTACCAAAATGATGTCTGCGGATTAAAAATTATAGAAGAAAAAAATAGAACAAACAAAAAAATTCACCTCCGCTGGGGTTCGATCCAGTTCTTCGGCGATACTACGTCGCTTAGAGGAGTCGAGTGAGTTAAAATACTCGCACAAATCTCCATCGATCACACTCTGGAACACAAAATGCATCAATTTCAAGCTATGTACACAACAGCAGACCGTTCAAATTTGAAAATGAAAATTACCGGTTACGATTTTTCTTTGGACCAAAAAATTCGACTTCAGCACGGAGAAGTGTCAAACTAGTTTTGCATTACACGAACACCTTACTGTAAAAATAACAAACTACTGAAATAAACTATAGAGGGATATTTGTACTCTTTTCATGCGCTACTGTAAAATAATATTGCAGCTCTGTGGAAAATAAGTGTATTTTTTATGTCTCCTAAACTCTGTCCATTGCCTTGCTGCAGTCTTTCTCTAGGAATTCCACTTAACACCGGTTTCAGTGTAGCAGATAGTCAATAGAAGGTAACTCTGCGAAATGAGGATGCAAACCTTCACTGGCATGTAGTATGATCTATAGGACAAGTGATCTCTGCCACAAAGAGACGGCTGTTCCGCGCGTAAATGCATCTCAAGATGCTGGAAAAAGTCAATATCCTGTGAAATGATCAAACAAAAATGACGTGATATACACGTGATCACCGCGACCGTCTGGCTAGGCTTCAGCGTGCAGCTCATGAACGCAAATCAAATAGAGTAGAAACAGGAGAAAGCATTGAACAGCTATTTATGACGTACTTTACTACACTATACCTCTGACGATCTTCTGAAGATTTACGACAATTTTAAATACATTTTAAGAGTAAATAAAGATACTAAAAAAAACGTTTTTCCGTCACTTTATGAAAGGAATTACGAGAGACCATACCAGCCTCATAACATTTAGTTAAGGCCAGCAGCATTATGACTGTGATCCGGAAAACTATCACTGAACATTAGCCGGCCTATCTTCATTTTGTCTTGATGGGCTGTTGTTTGTTGGGAAAGCTTAGATTGTGCACTGTTACTAAAGTTGCCAGGCCACTCAAAATGGCCACGCACAATGTATCTAAGGTGAATGTGGGCCTTGAAATATCACAGATGTTTCCAGCCTTCTGATTGGCTAAAGTGCATTCTTAACAATACGTGATTAACACCGAAGGCAAGGTACCCAAGTAAACTGTAGCATGTAACACCGGAAATTATGTCACTTAACCCTTTAAGCCCCAATATCCACATTCAAATTCTCCAAACTGATCTCCATACATTTTCTAAAAGAATTAGTAAAGAGAATTGGATAAAAGAGCGAAGCATTTCCCCTTTGGTGATAATTTTATCATTTCTCACAACCTTTACTCTTAATTATGCATTGATATTACTAGGAAAAAAGGGATGTTGGTCACAGCTGATACCCACCTCTCGAGACGTGAATGGTACCAGCATGCCGATACCACCGGATAATGTTGTGTACACCAAAGACTCTGATCCGCCTGGAATAAGAGTGGCTTTTTGGAGTGACAGAACTGTTTCACCCACATGATAATTACACAGAGTTTCAACCTGGGGGTAAAAAATAATAATAATAATAATCAATACTAATCAAAATCATAAGGTCACAACAGGGCAAAGAGGCAAAAATTTCGCACGGCCAGACCTTAATCAGGTTGGTTCTACAAAGAGGCAACGGATGAGTCAGAGGGGCACAATCAACATAGATTAAAAAGAAGTAGCAGTCTCCTTCAATGAAGAAGTAAGGGCAGTTCAAGGCAGAGAGGCTTGGTTACAGACTGTAGAAGCCCTGTGTGGAAACACGATAGCACAACAACGAGTAGTGTGGGTGAGTCAGCTAAAAGTCATGAGCTCGTACCTAGCAATAGAGACTTAACAATTAAATCACGAGCTCGATCTCAGCAGGAGCCCTCAAAGGAAATGGAGCAACGGAAGGAAAAACAAAATCTCCAGCCAAAATAAGAACCGCACCCAAGAACTCGGTGATACAGTCTATCATCTTTGATTTACATATAATACCAAAAGGGCGAAAGCCATGGATCTTCCGCAAATCGAGTAGAGAGCAAGACTGGTGGCCGACAACAACAGTGATGTAGTGCGTAACAATACAACAACGTAAAAGCACATTACCTTTTGCGGAGCGCCGTTTAGAAGTCCTCTATCCCAAAATGCTTTAGTGCCAGTAGGATCTTCATCAATATCGTCAGTCGTGTTGGCGCCAAGGCGAATCTACAAGCAAATCACGTACAGAATATTTAGAAAATGACTGTTATACTGTAGACTATCTGGCACCAGCACCAGCACCAGCATCATCACCAGCACCAGCAGCACCATCACTGTTACCATCATCATAATAAAAAAAGGTGCGGAAAACAATCGCATTTTGGCTTTCACTTAAAACGTCACAACACGTATTCATAACAACCGAGTGCCGCCCGATGTACTCACCACGAATACGTTGCCAAATTTATCGGCCCCAGCTACCGTTTCATAGTCCAGATAACTGCAGCACGTTAACCACCTAAACAGAAAAGAGATACACGTGATAAGACGACAGACTACGCAAAAAAGGCGGAAAGTAGTCTGCACAGGAGCTGCTGTTGCAAGAGGCGCAAAAAATGCCAGAAGACGGGGTGAACTGTGTTAGGGGAGGGGGGAGGAAACGAAATACTTCCTTCTCCCTCTCAATCGTTATGGTGGATACTCCAAACACCACAAAAAGCATTTTTTAACACCTTAGGTGACGCGGGAAAGAGCATGAATGAGGGAGAAAGCGACAGCCGTTTATTCATTCTTTATTATTAAGGGAATACGAGTAACCGCTTGATCAACACTTTAACCTAGAATCCTTTGACCCTAACCAGCTTTTCTGCCAGGGACAGTTGTCGGTACTTTAAAGCAACAATACAGCAATTAGTAACAAACTTGGTCCATTATTTATTTAAAAGGTCTTGAATTTTCGAAATCACCCATCTTAAATTGGGTGACAATAACGTTTATTGTTCTGTGTGGATAACAGGGTTAAAACACGCTGATGAAAAAGCAGGAATATTTAAAAGGTTTTTCCTGTTTCCTGTTTCTAAACAGCTCGAGCAAATGTAACCTTTTAAAAAGCGAAGTTCAGTGGCTTATCTGTGAATATTTTAGGGTGCAAACTGTATCGTTAAAGTTTTAGCGCTCTTGCGAATATCGATACAGCACGGAAAGTATTGCATTATTCACGCGACAAATCTATGCTATAATCAACGAATGATATGCGAGAAACAAAGAACAAAGAGGCCGGCTAACTCAGCTTCAATGTCAAGGTCAAAGAGAGAACCTTTTCCCCCAAACCTAACTTGATTAAAGTACCCCATTCACTTGAGAACATTTCCAAACATCAAAATCAGGTAATAAACTGAAAATATAAGACTAGGTGACAAAAGCTGTAAAAAAGGAGGAAAGAAAAAACAGAATGTTGTGAAAAATATTTTACCAGACCAATCAAAAAAAAACATTTTTATTTGATACTTGAAGATTTCTATTCTTGGCACGGGCGAGTCGCTAATTAAAATATTACAAGCGCAGGTAGAAGTTTTTGCTTTGTTACAAATTTGAGATTTTAGACTACCAAGATTATAGTCTTTACTAGAAAAGACTCGCATGAAATGGCTACTATTTCGCAAGCTTGAAAGTGATCAGAACAAGAGACAAATGAAATTCGTACTTCTTCCTCGTTAATTTACCAGTTAACCACAAAATTGGAAATATACAATGTATCTATTGCCATGCACCTATCCCGTGTGGGTTTCAAGTGTATTTGGCTAAACTTGTTTATAGCAAGAGCTAGTACGTGAAACTTTCAAGAGTGAGGGGAATCACAAAAGCGATATTCCATAACGTAAAACCTTCCGAAATTGCCATTAATGAAATTTTGATGCTTTGTCTCAGAGGTAATTTGCTATGAAGCCACAAACCCAGAAAGCTGCAATTTAACTGGCTCCTTAACCAGATATCCCATGAAGCACAAATGAAATCACAGCAAGATTGCGTTTTTGAAATGTTGTGGAAATACTGCCCTGCGGGGCTTTTAAAAAATCTCTTTTTAAAAAGGAAATATTCAGGACGGTACTGAAACAGGGAGATATTAAAGGCAATTTGGCGTGTTTAAACAAATATTTACACCAACGCAATTATATCTTTCCAAGACAGAGCTGAACTGCGTGAAGCTGAACAACAACTGTCAGAGGGCAAGAGAAACTTAGCCGAGCGATACAGCTTGACTTTCTTGTGCTGCAGGTAACTCATAGACTATAAGCTTAACATTAAATTATTTGAGGTTAAAGGCAGACAATCACTTTCAAAAAAACAGATTTACATGTATTGTCAAGTCAAAAAGACCACATTTGCCGGTTTAAAGTACCCCAATCAAGGAAGACTGAAAATTTTAAAAGATTTATTGAACAACGCAGCGTTGATTTAAAAAACAGTCATGAGAAAGAAAGCTACAAAACCCATCAGGCATTCGAAAGATATATGAATAGATTTCGTACATGGCGGCGTAAGCTTTAATCCTTTCCTTTTTATCTAGAAACGGTGGGAAAAATTGGGTGCAAACCACAGCTGTTTACACTGAACAAGTAAAAGAACTTTATTTGCGTAACCACCCCACTTAAAAGTCAAATGAGATTTAAAAATTAATCGTGAAAGACAAAAAAAAAATAAAATACGGAGCAGTCAATCAATTTCGTGCGAACGGCTGGAGGAAAAAAACGTACGAGTTTCACCGTAAATAAATTACAGTCGCACAAATAAACGTTGAATAATTACTGCCATGCACCAACAAACAATGAAACATAAAATAAGGAAAATGCATTTCCAAACGAGAAAACAGCTTAAACGCTCCATGTAGACGGCTGTTGCTGAGGTGTCCCGAGGTGGCATTTTCATTTACGAATTTATAGGTATCTTTTTACCATTACAGTGGCTAAAATGAAAAATGATCGAACCTATTTTAGTAAAATGAAGATAACAAGCGCTTAACTGTGTAACAGTACTGGTCAACAACCTAGTCGTCAGTAGCCACGCATAATAGGTTTTACTAAAATCCAAGTAGTGGTCTATTATCAATGCTGCGTTCTGATTGGTTGAGCTACTACTAGGCTATATGTTAAAGCCTACTAGTAGCGAAAGGCGCGCGCTTTTTGGCGGCAAAAAAGGATTAAAGTCTAGCTTTAACCAGCTTAATTTTTTTTGACCAACTAGTTGGATTTTACTAAAACAATTCGGCCTCATGGGCTATTGACTCAGAGCCCAGTAACCGATAACTATCCAAATTCACTCGATATTACGACGCGATACGATACCTCAAAACTGATATCCACACTGTCTACAAACGACCTGTTTTTAACGTCAAATCTACTAGCTATCGACTCGGATTAACACTCCCAAACAATTCTAAGTTGATTGACCAGAAATCAAAATCATTCTTGCCAAAAAGAGCCTCCGATTTGTTCAAATGGTTTCAGTCACGAAAGCCATTTATTCACTAAAAGATGCATTGAAATTACAGAGTAACCTGTGAATACGCGGCCAGGGACGTTTCGCGGCAAAGATCGTGGAGAGACAGCTGTATTCGCAGGGTAATCACGGAGTCAGGTATGAAACAGAGGCTTTGAAAGTTATGACTAAAGCTTTTCTTTTGTATCAAGAGCACAATAAAGATTGTTGTTTTTGTTGTTGTTGCTTAAGAGCATCATGTAAGACAACACAAAAAGACGTTGTCACCCCATGCAAGGTAAGATTGGTTTCCGGATTCCACGATTCTAGGTACGGGATTCTCAATTCCTTGTCAGTGGAACTTGGACTCCAGATTCCGGATTCCAATTGTCAAGATTCTGATCCTTGAGCTCAATTCTGGATTCCACGAGAAAAAATTTCCAGCCGGGATTCCAGAGTCACCAAACAAAAAATTTCAGGATTCTGGAATCCGGATAACCTTACATGGGGCGGGCGACTGTTGACTATGACCAATGACAGTATCAAACTTAACTGGAGCTAAAGTTGTTATCCTTAATTAGTAAGGAGTTTACGGAACAGGACGGCAGGAGGAAGAGGACGGCATAACGCTTGCGCGTGACCAACATGACAGGGCTATCACTTGCGTGTTTCGTCGTGATCTTAACTTAACATTACTGTTTTCTGGTCATAACAAAGAGATCTGTTTAAAAATAGTTAATTAAAGTGGAAAGGTTGGGAAATCCTTTGTTATAGGTTTTTGTCAGCTTTTTTGTACCTGACCGTGCACAACGTTCAATAGCATTCCTATCATTTTGAAGTTATTGACCAATAGAAACATTGCATTAATTTATTCAGCCAGAATTTGTGAACAGAAAAAAAGGATTGTGCACAGTCAGGGAGCTTCCAACATAACCTAAAGCACCATTACTTTCAACTTTGATGTTTGCCGGGTTTCCTAACCAGTCTCATCTACTAACTATGGTTTAAAGGAGAGTGAAGTTTGGCCAAAAGTTATTGTCACGCTTCCAACACAAGGTTTGCCGTCTTTGTTCCTCTCCCGTCCTGTTGTGTAAGTTCACTAGTGATACGCGCGCTATACGGTTCACTTACCAGAAATCAATATAATTCTAATAGATATGAAAGTTGAAAATCGGTTTTTAGTATCTCTTATTTTTATTACTCAGTCTGTACAACATATAGGACTATTGAACGCACTTCTCTTCACTTTCCTTCTGCAAACAAACACTTAATGGAAAGAAAGCTCTCCAACACAGCTGCCTTCAAGTGCCATGAAAAACTGTCACATTGTCAGTGCTTTTTACAAAGGATATGTAAATGACAGAAAAAAAGAAAAACTATATCGCAACTGGCACCAATGTGAAGTCAATATACGGAGCTAAAAGAGTGCCGTCTGAAGGCGTTAAGCAGTTGGGCACAATTGCAGCATGATACAAATTTAATGGGGCGAGAAAATAGGCGATTATTTGATAAGTAAAATCAGACAGTGCACAACAGGTTATCAAGAAATTGGAGAGAAAAGAAAAGGTTGAAAAGGCTGTTTTTAACTCAAGACGCCCAATAACAGCTTTAAAGTCGGAAAGCCACCGTGAGAAAGCAATAAGGACCTACCAATAAAATAGTAGAATAAAAATGGTAAGAAGCTTACGAAAAATATAACTACTTGGCATTCAAACAGTCAGCATTTTTAAATCAACAGAACAGCTAATGCAACTATAAAAAAATACTCATTCCTTACCAAAACGTTCTTGATAACCAGTCAGAAAAAAACACGAAATAATTTCAATTTCTACTTTGCAAGGAAAGCTTTAGAAAAACACTTGAACTAGTTTAATTGTCATCCCCGTTGTTTGACGTGTAAATTAACCCTTTATCTGACAAGACACGGTCCATTTCGGGAGAAATTAAAACGATTTCAGATTAAAGTAAATGTTTGGCGAATTTTCTAGCATAAAGCCTTTGATGTTACTCTCATAAAGCAAAGCAAAATTCTACTGTACAAGATTCTATTCTACACGAATTAAGTGCTACAAATATTAACACATTTTCTTTAAGTGGAGCGAAATTTGAAGAAAACCTCGAAAAAACGAGATCGCCATTTTTCTAATTTTCGGAAATTATATTTTATTTACTTTACTTGGAATATGTGTGACTGCTTTCCAAATGCAAAATAATTGCTTCCCGCGATCGATTTATTCGTTTTTTGCACTGTTGCACCTGGATTCCAATTGTTAAAATCAAGTGACAAATTACCAGGTCAACGCAGAGAAAAACGGAAAATCACTTTACTGAGTGTACAACTGGACCATTAAACCGCGTAAATTCTCTGAAAAGCACATTTTAGTAGGATGAAGGTAATTGCAAGACACAAACAGAACAAAAGCGTGCAACTAAAATACGAAACAAAGCACAGGAAGGGAGAATATCTTTAAATTAAAGCGGAAATCTCCATAAAAAGATAACAACGTGTGATATTGTCCCCCAGTTTTGAAGATTACTACACAAAACGCAGACTTCTTACACTCATTGAAAACTGTCACCAAGAAAACTGATTTTCGAGCGATAAAAGAAAAGCAACCAACACATTTAGACAATCATCGATTTGGGGTGACAAGGTAAACATTCTCCCTAATTTATTTGCAAAAATTTGCACAAGATGATATTAGTCGCCATGAGGACTATATGTTAAAAAGAAACAATAAACTGCGCTCAGTCTAGAATCTATTTCCAAGAAAACAACGTCTCAAGACTTTTTAAGGTAATAAGATTTATGTCCTTTGTACAAAACAAACTAGCACAAGCTAACGCATTCTATTTATTCATTTTCTGGTGTGTTTTATAACAGGGTGTAACCTTTGACCAACGCAACAACAAACGGCATCTTCATAAGAAAAAAACAGTGTTTTAGAATACAGGTGTTGAACCGGCAGAGTTGACAGCTAACAGTGAAAAAAAAGAGAAAGTTAAATGGACAACGTAACGAGAAATTACGGGAGAGATTTAGCAAAGGAAAAAGACAATGTTTCGCTTGAAATGGAACAGACAGGAAGAGCTTTGCACCAAACAGAGACAGGACAAGCGGTGATTGTCTTCTTAACTTTACAAAGCGTGCTTATAATATGCGCCAACTCCCTTGTGTTTGTGCTATTCATCAGCACGCGGTATCTACGTACAAGAACCAACTATTGCTTGGTTAGTCTGGCGGCGGGTGACTGCCTTGCCGGTCTCGTGTCTCTACCGCTTGTTCTAGCATGTTCAACGACACTCGTGGGCGAAATATGTACCAGCATGGATTTATGCCAGCGATTCCTCTCCATTTCTACCATTCTCCACTTGCTGGTAGCAACGTCAGAGCGCTATTTTAAAATCAAGAGACCGTTTAAATACAACATGGTAGTAACAAAACGACGAGTATTGCTGTTATTGCTTGGCGTGTGGCTTTTCTCTTGTGGCGCTTCTTTTATTCAACTCGCCTGGATTACAGGACCACGGGAAGAAAAAATCAAACGATTAGACATTGCCTATGCCATATTTTGCTTGGTGGCATTAGCTTTTGTGCCATTTTCTATAATTGCCTGCATCGATGGTCACATTTTTTACTACATTCACAAAGAAAAGAAAATGCGTCAAGCTCTCACGGAAAGCAAGCCTCTCGAAAAACAACAAAAACGTCGAAAAAACGATCGGAAAGCGGCGATCATTTACGTGATAATGACGGTAACTTTTGTCCTTGGCTGGTTCCCATATTTTATCTTTACTCTGCTGTGGGATCTGGAGTACATAAATCGTATCCCCTTTGCTCTAACCATAATATTTGTGGTTCTAAAATTCAGTACAGCACTTATCAACCCTCTTCTTTATACGTTTTTTAAGAATGACTTCCGAAAAGCGCTCCAATCATTGATAGAAAGAGAACAATGCTTGGATGGAAGCAACGAAGTCATTACAACCACTCTGGTTTGACACTGATGTCCCTTTTTTCATTAGCGTCAACCATGGAAAAATAGTGTTGAAAAGTAAAAACAGCGTAAAAACCAACCGCATACAGTATCACGACAAGTGAAATGAGAAAGTACTGTTGCTCTGAGCTTTTAGGTCAATGATCTTACTCGATTAATTGATCTGAGTAAAACCTTCGGAAAAACGCACGACAAAAGTACCTATACACTAGCTGTTTAAGACTGAGTCTTCAGTTGAAATGACTAGAAGAGACTGTAGTTAAAACGCTAGGTTTGAAAGAAAACATTAGTAAGATAGTGACTAAATACTCTCACAGGTAAGTTTTCTATTAACGATGACCAACACCAAGATGATTTCAAGTGAAATCTACAAGGGAGTGTATGACTCTTTAATTAAGGGAAAAAAAACTGAATCTCTGACGACACTTCATCGAGAAATTGGCAGAAATAGTCATATGGGCACCAGTTCTCCACAGATATGATTCAGTGCCGCTTTTTCTACACTCGCCTCAGTCAACTAATTTTTAATATATTTTGCTGGACTTGAACCATCGTTAAGTCATTGGCCCCAACCCCATTAAACGTGCCAGTTTGAGCATCAGTATATGGGAACACCTTTGCTTTATCCACAAAGTAGTTCGGTTTCATATCTAGCGGGGTTGGGCTGTTAGATTTTGTAATTGCCTCATTACATTTATGCAAATTTATACTTGTAAACATCCGATAGCGGGAATGCAAGAGGAAAACAATTTAGCGGTTTTGGTTTAGGTTTAGGTTTAGAGGTTTTACACCTTTTGTTTTTCTAGGTTCTATTGTGTTGACTTTTTTGTTTTTCGTCACCGGTGAGTTTACATGGTTCATACAAAATTCGGGGGGAAAAAATCAAGGACTTTTTAAGGAGTAAGACAATTTTTTCAAGGACTTTTTTCCCTGTAATTTGACATAGAATTGCATGAACTAAAAACCTTTCAAATTCGTAGGTAGAGGGGAGATTTCTTATTGCAGTACCTTCCCCCAGGAAGGCACGGTTACTAGGGTACTTCAAATAACGGAAAATTAACCATTCCGGGAACATTGAAAACATAAGAAAACATACTTTCATGACCACCAAGAAAATTTGTGTACTGCTGTGCTTTCAATCTTTCCTTTGCGCAAAACACTTTGTTTAACAAAGGTTATTTTATTCAAGGAGCTTTCAAAAATATTCAAGGACTTTTCAACGATATTCCACAATTTTTCAATTTTTAAAGACTATTCATTCACGGACATGATGCTTTTTCAGGGAATTTTCAAGCCCTGTGCGAACCATGGTTTAAGACAAGTCGAAGGCAGCGTCATTTGCAATGAGATGGGTAATAAGGGTGCTTGATGACATAATGTCGCAGCACATTAAAACCTATAATCAAAATTAAACTTGCAATAAGTAAACCTTAAGAACATAAATGCAAGAGTTTCTAACCTCTCTTTCTTTTCCGTCTCAAAATGGCGCTTAGTTTATAATAAAAAGACGATTGTCGAAACTCGCCATTACAGAACCGGTTCTTTGATCTTTGATACCAACGATTTAAAAACAACCCATAAATGAAAAATGTATTTTTTCTTCGCCAAGGTCTCTCACAGTGACCACCCTTTCACTAAGAAGCGAGAAAGGAAAATCTGGTATGGGAATGTCTTATCTTTAAACTACTAGGAAAGGATAAGAAATCAAAGATCGGAACGCAAACAAAATTCATTTCAAGGTTAAAAATAAATGGCAATTTTGACTTCGGAGACTCCTTAACGAAAAAAATCAACCATTAGATTGTTCTCTACACACAATCCTTGAAATCTTTCATTTTATTCCTATACAACTTGCTCAATTCAGCCCTAAAGAACCCTTTTGTTTTTATCCTGTAGATAAATATTAGGAAGCAAAAATTTCGGCCCCGTCTGCACGAGTCCAGATATTTTTGAAACAGCTTTATTTTATATAAGAATCGGCATTCCGCCTACACGAAACTAGTGAATCTGCTCAAGAAAACTCCATTTTTTTAAGTGATTAGACGAATGTTTTCGAATTCAATAGCCCACGTTCGATATCGAGGCTTTACGGACAAAAATGCAATTTTTTTACAACTCCATTGTCTCGCAATTCCCAGAGGACACTTGGGTACAAAGAAAACCAAACCAAATATAGAAAAATGACCATGAAACCTCGGAGTCATATTAGAATTTCGATATTATTTATTTATTCACAAGCCCTAGGATTTCACGGTAATGAAAGTTTCCGGTACCGTGTTGTTACCGTGGTCTTAAAATAACGGAAACAAAAAATAGTTTCCCACTGACATTTTCAGTCTTAGGGATACATTTATTTTTTGTCACTAGTGGGGCATTTCTTTAGTGACGACTCATATATGAAAATAAAATGTTTACCATCTATCAGTTCCATCTTGAATCATTCCCAAAAAGCATTATACATGGTTTATGGCTTCCACCGCCAAGAAAAAAAATATATGACTGAAATTTTAAAACATTCAGGGGATGGGTTCCCATGAATTTTCACGCAACCAAAAAATTGTTACCGATGGTTTCTCATGATCTCTGGGCACGGAATTGAAAAAATGTTTTCCATGGGAATTGAAATCCTAGGGCTTCAATATATCGAACGTGGGCTAATAAGTATGCTGTTTCAGCCTACCCGGGCCTTAAATATTTTTGGTAGCTCACTGTCCCGTCGAGTAACGATGGGTTTGGGTAATTAAGGTTCTTCCCTCGAACTGTTATCGAAACGGAACTAGAACAGAAATTATTATCAAATTGAGAGTAAAAAGCACATATATTACACCTGCTAAGTCCACAACCAAGTAGATGTCACCTCAATACGCAGAATTACATCTCAAATTACCTTGGATTGACGTCATCAGCAAATATCACCAGGTGATTTTCCCGAGCCTTATATTTGACGAAGTGAAAGGACTCCTGAATATCGCTTACAATAATACGCGTCCCCATGGTGTTAAGCCCCATAACAAAGTTTGGCAGTTTCTACGAAGCAACACACAAATTAATCACGTCTTGTCTTACTATGATTAATACCAAATAGCCTTAATGCCAACACAGTAACACCGTCCACAGTCTTGGATTAGTACAGAAAAAACTACAGAGTTACTATGGCGGTTGCCATTTGTTTCACTATTATCTCTGGTCATGGTAGTTTGCAACATGTAACAAACATAATAGTGTTTAACGGATCTGGGTCTAAGGCTGGGTTCACACTTGGTGTGTAGGTACGGTGCCGCTGGCCGGGAGTATTTATGACAATGTGAACACTCCCTTTGCCAGTACTCGCAAGCAAGGGTAGTACAAGGTGGGGGCCATGAAGACCCTGAAGCAGGTTCTGGGTCTCCGTGTGAACGCGTTTTCCTTTAGTTTTAGCTGCAGTCTATTGCTTCCAATGTAATAACCCCCTGCCACGAGCATGTTTCAAATGGAGGCTAACGGCGCGAAATAGAGCTTATCATACCTTATTCTCGCATTTACGAAGAAGTTTCTTTTTCCCAAGATCATAAATTCTCAACAGGCGTCCAACACCAGCTAAAAGGCGACCCTACAATAAAAAATATCTGCTTTAAACATTTCTCGCTGGACGAAACAGCAGTGTTAAACGATTCCATTGTGTCGCAACCTACTTTCTCCCTATAGAGCCGTTAATTGCAGCATAGCGACAAGGCGCTCAGTCACAAAGGTTACGTTAAGCCCGAATAGAGTCAACGCAACTGGAACCTAAAGCCGAAAAGAAATTTTTAGGAACGGTACGTCAGAAAAAAAAATAGTGAATTATTTGCCCACCTGGAAAGGCGCTAGAGCTCCAGGAATATCATCCACTTCGGTCTGAAAAATAAAATAAGCAGAAATCGTCAAGAGTTTACAAGTAAAATCACTCTGTCCATCACAAAACTATTTTCCATAACTCGACAAAAAAGTCTAATTATGCCTCACGTTCAGTTCACCATAACCCGCCTGACACTCCCTTCTACTGAGATATTGGCAAATCTTTGAGACAAAGCATTTACTAGCCTGAGAAAACAGCCGAAATTTCCCAACGCGACCACTGGTTTCGCCGCAAAATGACGTCTAACAAAGGAGTGAAGCAAATTTTCAGCCAATCAGAAGCACTACCCAGATCTCGTTAGTGACGCTTCATTAGTATGGAATCATTATTTCTGCGCTCGTTTCTCAAACGTAATTTCGCGGGAAACCAGTGGAAATCTCGGCTGTTTTCTTAAGTTAAGCATATACATATTGAGCAAAGGATTTTACCTTGTGGACAAATTCTAGTTTGTATCCCCCATCAATGAGTTCAGCAATCTTGTAAGCGTGAATGAAACCTCCTGCGCATGACCGCGGGTTAAGAGTCAGGTCCTTTGCGGTACCAACTAGCGCATAAGTCTCATCAGGACGACACGTAAAATTACACACGCACACACTGAAATATAATATTACATATAGTGAGTTGCAACAATCTGCAAGAGGCATGTAGCTGGCATGAGTAACAAGGCTTGCTTGCCTGTTTTCTGCGATAATATGAGCTGCATTTAATGGTTACGATTATCAGTCATCGTCAAGCAAAAGCACTTCATAATGATCCAAAACAACTCCTTCATCAATATTACACAAAATGAGTGGACTAGCAAACCAGTAAACCTTACAAAAGTAAATTCTTTTTAGACATTCAGAAAAGAAGAAATCTAACGTAGCAAGTGTCTCATCTTTATCACGTTTCTGTCGTCTTTCTGGCACATACTAAATGCATCGACTTGAAAATGTCGAACACCTATAACGACTCAGTGTATTGCACTCATCACTGAAGAGGTAGTACAGAGCGAACACAACAAAAACGTGACAGCACAGTAATACAGTGTGAAGACGACACAAACCTGACGGCAGATTCATTTTGTTCCAGACGAACCTCATCAACTGTTTCACCCTACAAAGAAAATTGCGATTTTTGAGCTTCAGAGGGGAGAAGGGAGGGATGGGCGGACGGAAAAACGGAAGGATGGGTGGATGGATAAAAAATAAATAAGTAACAATCTGGAGGCAACACATTCAGATTAGCGGTTCTTCGTCTATGATTCCCGATCGAATGGGCCTTTGAAACTATTGGTTCTTGAGGAGAAGAAAAAACCGAAATACCCTAAGAAAAACCTCTTGTAGCAAGGGCGAGAACCAACAATAAACTCACACCATATATGGCGTTGCCTGCGGGATTGGAACCCAGGCCATACTGGTGAGACCCTTGCTCCGCACCCTTTCAGAACAAAAAGATGTGTCCAAAATTTGTCTTGCACACAATGACCAACTGAAAAAACACTCCTCCACGAAACGTTTCCTTCACCGTGTTTTTCAAATCAAAATAGTGGTTTTCATTGCCAAGAATTCAAGAACAAGTAAATTAACAAAGGGAGCTGCCACGATCGTAATAAACCTGTTTTGCCGTAAGCGGTAAACTATACGCAAGCTCTTCTCTCAGCAACAAGTCCCATCTTAGGGTACCTTTATTGGGTCCAGCATGCGCAAAATAGAGGCCCACATGCCAGGCCCTGCCTTAGGGGCTCCAAACTGTTGCTCAGAGAGATCCTCGTTGAGAAATTCGGCTGCCATTTGAGCCGCTAGCTCCTTCTCGTCGTCACCGGCTGCTTCGACCATTTCCTGGCAGAAATGAACACAAAAATGTCAATAAATACTTTAGAAAGGAGAAAAAGAAACGGATATACGCATATTGAACATCTTTTGTTGGTGTGGCGTGCTGTGGATTCAAATTGACGATGGCTTTGTTTCAAACTCATTTTCATACATACGCAAAAACAAAGGAAAAATTAAATCAGGCATAAAATTGAACTACAACACCTCTAATCGTAAGACGATCTTCTCTTGCCAAAACACACTGAAGTCTATTAGGACTTTTAAACTGTTAAATAGAAAATGTTAACCCATCCAGCCCGCGTGACATTCGTCGCAAGAAAAGGGGTGGAAGGGAAAAAGGGATGGGGATTAGGGAGAGGAAAAAGGACGGCTTCCTCTCTAACCAAGCTACATATCATCATGGGTTAATGAATTGAAGTTCGGGAACACACTTGCTAGTGGCACCTTTATTCACGAGCCTTGCATTGCCAAAATAAACACAGGAAAGCACGTTCAAACAACATAAAGGTGAGTCGTAATAGATTCACTCTCCCATTGTCAGCAGTCAGTTTCAATGGCCGTAACTTCCGCTATTTACAATCAGGGGATTGCAAACCCATGAGTCATGCTACAAACCTCAGCAATTTGTTGTTTTTTCTCCTCTTTGACCTTGTCGGTGAACGTGTTGTGGTCACTTTCTATGATGATCAAATTGTTACTCTGATGGTGGAAAGCAAATTTCCGAGGCGTGTAGCGAAGANTGGCAGAAATGAACACAAAAATGTCAATAAATACTTTAGAAAGGAGAAAAAGAAACGGATATACGCATATTGAACATCTTTTGTTGGTGTGGCGTGCTGTGGATTCAAATTGACGATGGCTTTGTTTCAAACTCATTTTCATACATACGCAAAAACAAAGGAAAAATTAAATCAGGCATAAAATTGAACTACAACACCTCTAATCGTAAGACGATCTTCTCTTGCCAAAACACACTGAAGTCTATTAGGACTTTTAAACTGTTAAATAGAAAATGTTAACCCATCCAGCCCGCGTGACATTCGTCGCAAGAAAAGGGGTGGAAGGGAAAAAGGGATGGGGATTAGGGAGAGGAAAAAGGACGGCTTCCTCTCTAACCAAGCTACATATCATCATGGGTTAATGAATTGAAGTTCGGGAACACACTTGCTAGTGGCACCTTTATTCACGAGCCTTGCATTGCCAAAATAAACACAGGAAAGCACGTTCAAACAACATAAAGGTGAGTCGTAATAGATTCACTCTCCCATTGTCAGCAGTCAGTTTCAATGGCCGTAACTTCCGCTATTTACAATCAGGGGATTGCAAACCCATGAGTCATGCTACAAACCTCAGCAATTTGTTGTTTTTTCTCCTCTTTGACCTTGTCGGTGAACGTGTTGTGGTCACTTTCTATGATGATCAAATTGTTACTCTGATGGTGGAAAGCAAATTTCCGAGGCGTGTAGCGAAGAGGTGTGGCTACTTGGTTAAACACAGCACCCAACTTTTCCAGAGCCAAAATCCTTAAAAAATTAAAAAAAGCAAACGACATATAACTCGTTACTATCAACAACTACTTAAACTAAGCTATTCAAAGTAGACAGACTGCAAATTATAGTTACTGTAGTTGCTAACAAATATATATCTACGTGTCGTTACGAGGCCTTGTCAACTACTTATGCTAACTCACTAGGGGCAGGCATGACCTAGACTGCGAGCAAGTTCCCTGGGAAACTCCGCGGAGGGGGAGAGTTTCCCCGCCCCCTAGGCTAGACATTATCATCTATACTGTTTCTACATACATAAACAAATCGTTTTATTGAGTCTGTGTTTACAGGGCTTTCCAGACACAATTAACTATACTGTAGAGAAGGCACAAGCGAGTGTAAACTGCGATATGGCGTTCTTATTGCAGGTTTAAGAGAGTGCTTCCAAAGAGTGCTAAAACAACTACTGGAATATTAGTCCGTGAAATCCCCAACTCAGTTTAATATTTCAGCTCAGCGTATAGTGACGACAAATTAATCAAGTCACACGTATTAAAAAAGAACAAAGCAAAGTCACGTGCAAATTAAGGGTGCAGTTGGCGTGCAAATGAATTACCATAACCTCAGTTTTCCTAGTTTTAGTTATGATCTAGGACCCACCTCAGAGTGTTTGCAGATATAGCAACAATTCCCTCAGGACACTGCTCAGAAGAGAAACTAGATGCGTACTCGAGGGTCTCATATGACAACGGAGTAAGATGGAAACGGGACTGGTACGAGTAACTTAGCCACGAGCGACTTGACATGGCAAGAACCTGGAAATATAAAAAAAAGGATTAAACTTCTATATTTTCTAACATCGCGTTATGGTCCTTCTTGTCCATAAAGTAATAATAATAATAATAATAATAATAATAACAATAATAATAAGAGCAATAGAGAGGGTAGAACAGCAAACATTTCTTTTGTTTTCCATAGTTTGTTTACGTTTGCCATAAAACGCACTTGTTACCTCGCAAAACTTTGCACAATATTTTAGCGTGCTCCATATTAGGCATGTTTCCCGGTGCTTACCATAGGTCGTACGTTTTCCCGTGCTTTTCGCGGGTAGCTCGCTCTTTTCGCCCTGAGTGCTAGTTACCTGGGTCGGGTTGCAAAAAACATCTTAAGATTAAGGGAACTCGTAACTATTATTTCAAAACAATAGGTTATTGTTCCCGAACAAAAGTCGGGAGCCCTCTCATCTTTAGTAGGTTTTATGCAACCTGGCCCTGGGCTATTATGTTATTAACGGGTACTGCTCTCTTATAAATGAATGTCGACACCTCTAGAAACAAGGACAGAGCTAGGTACTTACCGCATCAGATCCGTGCATTCTAACTTTAAACAACTTAACAGCCTTTGAGCCAAGATACCTGAAAAACAATAAGACGAATTCAGCACTTCACCAGTAAGAATCAGCAAAATGCATTTACAGTGCAGACCTGCACATTACTTCACACGAATTTCGTTTTACAAGCAGTAGGGTATCCCGTTGATGCTGAACGCATTTAAACCGAATTGTTTCGAATTAGATCACTTCAGTCGGTGGCTGGGCCGTGCCTAGCCTAAATATCAACACGTGTTCAAATCAAAACATCCGTTTGAGCTAAAGTGGGCCGCATATATCCTTACCTCGTTCGAGTATCGGACAAATCTCCAGTCACAAGATCCAGCACTGTTCTAAGCAGAACACCATTC